ATTTATATTTAATTATTATTTTTCATTCATTGATTTTCTAAAATTCTATTTCTCTTTTGCAAGCGTAGTTTTATGAATGCTTTATGCATTGAAAATCAGGTTTGAAGGAATCATACTCATACTCACATAGTTGTTATTCGTCTGTGCAATGGAATAACTAACTACTTCATACATATGTATATATGTATATATAATATAACGATATTTTGCTACTGCTGCTCCTGCTGATGCTGCTGCAGTGCAGCTGGCAGATCTGAAAGTAATTTTGCACACATTTCAAGGCAGCAGAATGTGGCCCAAGCAGAAGTCGGGCTTGTTGATTATGTGAGTACTGCAGATGTGAGTACTGGTACCTGTCAAGTGTCGCCGCCATATGTGGAGTTGCAAGTAGGCGAGCAGACAACAACAAGACTGGCCTGGGATTAAAACATGAAATCACTGAAAAGCAGCTGACTCGGGTGAGCTATGCTCTCAGAGGCTGCTTTTCCGTGTCAAATGCAAGTAGCAGCCCAACAATTCCCATCCATCAATCAAGCCTAGCCGAGTCGAGTGTATTTGTGTGTGTAAGTGAGTGTGTGTGTGTGTTTGTGTGTTTGTTATGTTGCGTGCCACTCACCTGTCTTGTAAGCCGTTGAGCCAATTATGAAATCGGGCAACAGATATGCTGCACTGCGTCCCTTTTGATTGTAGGAGTAAATGCGCAGCCTCAATGAGTTGTTCTCCTGCATCATCATCGAGGTGAGCGTGTCCAGATTCTCCAGCGAGAAGAGCGCCTCCTCCGCGTTGCTCAGATTGAATCTGTGCAAAGATTTAGAGCGTCATCATACACATTACGATTATAATCATTATCATCATTATGTATTATTAAATCAGCATGGCAAATCAACAGCTCTAAGCCCTTAATCATGTGCAATCAAATGTCAGCTTGGCACTGAAACCCTCTCGCATATATCTATATATAAATATAGATACCTTCCTTCTTTTTTGGCAGCTTACGCCTTTTACATTTCTGCCTTGGACTATGCGGCCCAAATCAAGCGAAACCCCCCACAGCCCGCCCAATGCCACAGACACACACAAACCGAAGCCCAAATCTAACCAAGGCATTGCTCCAATCATGACCTCAATTTAAATTTGATGCCTTTTGCCTTGTTGCGGCTTTCACTTGTCTCTTGTCTCCTGTCTCCTCTTTTATTTTTTCTCTTCTCTTTATTTTTTGGCAAACTCTGAAATATTAGGGTTCATTGTCTATATACATTTTGCATCAGTTTTTCATCCCCTGGAATGCTCTCAGCTTGAGGTATTAGAGATTCATGAAGCAATACGTAATACACTGAGCGAAAACTGAGTCTGAATTTATAATTATTGTATTTGAGTCAAAAATGTTTTCTTTTTATTATAAAAATGTTTAGTATATTCCTTAGCATAAATCAAATAAGACACGGAAGGCATACGGAATACCCTGAATAAATGGAGACATATATATTTAACAGCAATAATTTCTCCTCTTTTACACAAATTATAAATCATTATTTATTTCATATTCCATTATTCTTTGTATATATATATATTTAACTTTTTCTATATCTCTATATCTTATACCATATTCTCTCTATATAATTTTCACTCTCCCCCATTTTATAGAGTATTAAGAGTTCATCTCAGCCCAGCAAATTCTAATCTCTTCTTCTTGCTCATATGCCATTTACGTCAACAAACATTTTTACATTGATGAGGACGTTTGTTGCGTTTTGGCGCAATCTCTTCAAATGAGGGTCCTTTGATATTTTTTGTGGAGCTGCTGCCCGCTGCCCAACAACACATCTCCCCTCAGGCCGTTTTGGCATTGTTTTAATAAGCAATATTTATTAAATGTTTGCGGTTTTGCTTCGATTCGTTTCAAGAAAATTTATACATTGCCTGCCGCATAATATAATCTGTGTGTGGGTGTGCCTGTATGGGAGTGCCTGTGTGTGTGTGGGTGTGTGCATATGAATACGCTTCGATTCTTTTGGGTTTGAGCTCGGTAATAAAATGCGCATCTTCTTAAACACGCATTTGACATGCATATAAATTGTTGATTTGCGCTGGCAAAACATTTGGAATGGAAGCAACTTGGCCCGAAGGCCCTCTCTTTTACGCCTAATTACACACTCGCCCCCTGCTAAGAGCAGGAGGTGTGGTCGCTTTTGACTCGCCTCCTGCCTCTCTGTCTCCCTCCCTCTTCCTCTCTCACTCTTGCTGTCGCCACGCAATTGTCCAACTGAAACTGATATTGAATAATATCGCATTCAGGAGGCTGTCAAATGCAGATAGAAGTTCCCCCCATTGTATGGGGATGTGGTGGATGCGGCGTGGGCATGGGAGACCATTATAAATATATCTTTAATTTATAAATTTTATGTAAATAGGCTTCTCTATATGCACATACATATATTTGTAAGTGAGTTTCTATAGATATTCAAGCATTGAACTGTTGAACAAACACAAAACCAAATACAAATAAAACTCTTCGAATCCATTGAGTAGTATATATATGTATATTGTATATGTGTATGCCCTATTAAGTATTCGCACCGTACTTAACTATTCTATATTTATATATGATTATGAAACTCTTTTACTATACTTAAATTCAAATTGTAGGAGTTATGAATTCCTTTTAGTTTTCTCAACTCTTTTTCTTTTTCTTTTATGTTATTTTGATTAACCTCAGGTTATATTTAATCGTATATTTGACTTTTTTGACATATGCTGAAAAGCTGAGTCTTGGGGCGGCCGCTAAGCAAAGTTCCCCAAACGTAATCCGCTTATAAGCAATCCACAGAGGAAAACGTGCTTGCTCTTTATGTGTCCCTGTGTCTGTGTACGTTTGTGCTGGTGTGTGTGTTTGTGTGTGCCCATCCGTTTGTTGTAGTTGTCGGTTTATACGTGTGGCTGATTAATATGCTTACCTGGTAATGCCGGTGCGTGTTGAAAACATTTCGAGCACAAATATTTGCGGCAGGCCGCCATCGTAGCCGGGAATGCATTGTATGTCAACACTCAGTTCGGTGCGATTGAAGATGCTGCAATTGCTGACGCCATTTGGCAGAGCTGCGCCCAGATGGTCGGAATCGGAATTTATGTGGTCCAATGTTTACAGATAGTGCAGCAAATTAACATGAATGAGAAAGCGAGAAAACAGGGAAGAAGAGCAATGAACAGTTGTTCTGTTGTTACAGCGAGAGCCCCAGAGTGTTTGCTTGTGGCCTTAACGTGTTCAGGCCAAAAGAAAAACCCCTCAGCGGCAGATTTACACACAGAAATCAGTTGCAACGGTTAAACAATGCCAACGAATGTAAATAATCTGGTGCCTTTGGTGTATTTATATAAGCGTCGCAGTTGAATATTGAGACTGTAGACAACAGATTTATCACACTCGGCTACGAATACACCTAAAGACTCTCACTTAAATACTTTCTGTACTCTTCGCTCTGCTGTTTCAGCAGCACTCAAACTACTTCTTTTATCGCTCTGAAGCCTGACATGCATCTGTTGCATTCACACCTATATATCTTCAGCTCTCCTAACGCTGCTGCATTGCAAACCAATCAGAACAAAGATCGCAAATGGTTGACTCATTTTTCACTCTCTCCACAGCAATGGCTGATCAGCTATCGCTGTAAGCTGAGTGAGAGTGGGATAGAGAACGTTACTTAACAGAGCGGCCACTGCTGTTGAGTGCGTGAGAACAAAAAGCATGCTATAAGTGATTGTAGACAACAGACTTCTCTCTCCACAGCAATTGTCACTCTGTTAAGTTATTCTTTCTGTTAAGAACAGCCCATTTCCTTACATCGAAGACTGATAATGATGTCTGAGTTATATTTTACACTCTCCACAGCAATGCCCGCTGTAATCTCTGTCGTCCATCTCACTTACTCGCACTCATGTTCATTCGTGCTCTGAGCATTTCTGCAGCTCAAATAGAGATTAAAAGCCAGAGCCATTGCTCCAGAACACAGAGTGTGCAAACTGATATATACAGATAAATAAACGTAGCAACTTTTCATGTGAATATTTAATATTATATTTCTTAATATAGCTGTAGTTGAACTACCGATGAATTACCTGCTAAAACAACTTGAAAGAGACAGGGATGCTGCTGTGTTCCCACTTCGTTAGCTGCCCAGCAGGACAGTGTACCATAATCCTGCAAATATGTCAAGTAAGAAATATATTTATATGCATATGTATATACATTTTTGCACGCTCCTTAATTGGTCAAGGTAGATGGCCTTTACCTGATCTGTAACCGGAGTGTACTTTAAAATGCTGCGGCTTCCATTCACGCTGAATCGTTCACTGCCCACGTCCAGAGTTTCGCCTGAGTTGTTAAATTTCCAGCGAAATGTTCTGCATGTGTTTGTTGGTTTTATTTTTATCATTGTTGTTGGTGTTGTTGTTGTTGTTGTTTGTGTTGCGTTGACATTTTGACAGTTGCGTTGTCAGTGGCAAGCGCATGCAAAAGACAGAAACATCAGTCCAGCCAAAAGGGCGAATGTCACATGGGAGAGAGAGACAGAGGGAGAAAAAGAAAGCCATGTTTGAAAAGTCTTACATTTTTAAAATAGCTCGTTAAAATATTAAAGGTTAAGCACATACACAAACACACACAGTATTACAGTTGACCACCGTAGATGAACAGAGTTGACTCCGCTTCGCACATGAAAAGCCTCTTAAAAGGTTAATTATCTCTGGCATATTCGGTTGGACGCTTTCAGTTTTTCTCACGGCCTTAATAAATTATTTATAACTATATGCAAATGTATATAATGAAATCAATCAATAAACAATCTGCAGAAGCATAAAATTGAAAAGAGAAGAGGCGTAACAGCGCTGTTAAAGGTCAACTCTCATTGCCCTGTTAACAGCCACAGAGCGGACAAAGTGCGCTAAAAGATTGCGTAGCAGAACACCAAAAGAACATACTTAAAGCCAACAGCACCGTTAAATACCATCGCTCGATCCCACTGTAAACATCCAGAGAGCGGTTAGAGTGTGCAAAGAATCAGCACAACATTAAACTTATTTATGTTCACAGAAGAGAGCAACAGTGTTAACAGCAGAAAGATGTTATACTACTTAGGCAGCAGAACTAATCGAACTCTTCATGCTGCTCCTTATGTTAAGTCGTAAATAAATTTAATATCCATAGAGAAAAAGTGAAGTTAGTGCTCAGCTACGCTCTGTTAGCATGAACTAACAGCGAATATAGCATATCTATAAAAAAAAAAAAAAAAAACTCAATATTAATCAAACACAATCTTGCAGCAATTTAAAATTAAGTTAACAGCAACATTTAGTAATAAATTTATAATAATTGTACTATTTCTATTCTCAGTGAAAATGTTTATAAAATCAACTTTCAGCTTCATTTACATTTTTAAAGAATTTTCCGCTTTAATTCTTACTCTACCCAATGATTTGCATTTTTCACGAAATGATACTTTAATTTAAGAATTACACACGAAAAAAAAGCAATGCCGACAAAAAGAGGATTAACAAAATGGCTGGCATCGCTGTCAAGCAGTTAAATGCTGATAAATTAACTTGTAGCCGCCCACCTTGGGCTAGCCCAGCGGCGCGCAGCTAGTCCCTCCGCCGGCCTTAAAAAGTATGCAGCCGTTTTTTTTAACGCTCAAGCTGAGCAACGGCCGCGAGTGAAGCTTGCTGCTCCCACTCACACTGCAGCCCGTCCCGCGTCGCCTAGAGCCCGCTCTCGCAGCTGTACCACAACAATTACACAGGGCAGCTGTGCTGCCAGCGGCAACAACGCGCATATTTTGCGCCAGCTAATGATTAATTATTTTAGCATAAAGCGTCAACTCAAGACGCAGCCACAGACACCAACAAAAGCAACAACAGCAACGAAAATAGCAAGCGCTACAACAACAACAAAAAGAGAAAAACAGAACGAAAAATTGAAATTAAATACAAGACAAGGCAGCTGGACAGACGCACAGAGAGAGAGAAAGAGAGAGAGAGAGAGAGAGAGAGAGAGAGAGAGAGAGAAAGAAACAGAGGGAGAGGAACGACGCGAGACGAGACGAGCATAAAGTCGCTCGACAGGCCACAGCGGTGCGTTGTGGTGCGAAGGCGGCGGCTGGCTCATTAAAAAAACATTAAAGTGGGGCAAATGTGGCAATGCGAATTAACAGAGTCCAGCAGTGAGCGCCAGCGCAGCTGCCTTCCCTCACCCCCACACCCACCGCCTCGCGCTCCACTCACTGTAGCGGCAGCTGCATATTTAAAATAAATTAAAGTGCCWCACATTAGCCAAGGCGTGGCAAGCAGGGACAACGCTTTGAAGTGCCGGCAAATCAAAATATTGCTGAATTTCGCACATTTCCTAACATACAAACAGCATTTTCCGTTTCGCATACCCACGCAATAACACACAGACACACGCACACCCACACACACATATATATATAGAATTACAGCCATTTGTCAATTTAGCAAACTTCCATGCAACAGGAAACCGGAAGCAATTGCCTACATAACAAAAAAAGAGCAAGTGAAGGAGAGACAAAGCCTTGCCAGGGGCGCGTGAAGGGTTGCAGAGCAATGAATTTTCTTTTACTGTTTTTCGATTTTTCTTCTTGTTTTTCTTTTTTTTTTTCCTGTCAAAACTTACCGTGGCGGCGGATCCGCTTGTATCTCGCATACTACCTCAACAGTCTCATCCTTGGAGGCACCAATTAGTATAACACGATCCGTGTGCTTGCAAACAGGTGTATCTGAAAGAGAAGCAAAGAGAACAATGTGAATATGTAATTCAACTTTAAAGTTCTTTAAAAATAAAAATCACATTTAATCAAATTTGAAAAAATTATATTAAATACTTATGATTTATTTTAAATATTCCGTATAGTTTATTAAGTCACTATA